TATATATATATATATATATATATATATATATATATGTGTGTGTGTGTGTGTATGTATAAAAAATAATTCCAAGAGTATAGAATCCAGGTAGAACTCAATGTCCAGGACAGAGTAAGGATATAATAAAAAGGCTTAAACACTAATCTTCCATGGTCATAATTTATTCCATTGGAATCGTAAATACGATCCAATTCATCAGACCTACAAATTCAAAAAGAAAACAGAAAAAAATCACCGGGAATAAAAAATAAATTTAGTGAGAGTGTATGTATGAGAGTGTGGGGCGAATCTTAGAGTAAATGAAAGCTCTAGGGAGGGGTAACAGACGAGAGACGAGTAGGAAGGTCTAAAGATGAAGGGGGGTGTTAAATTTAACAGAGAGAAGTTTTAAAGAGGGGAGTCAAAGACGGTTTAAGTGAGAGAAATATGAATGTTTTCGGATGTCTAATACATTAAAGATAAACCGGTTTTCTTTTTGAATTTTTAGGTCTGATGAATTGGATCGTATTTACGATTCCAATGGAATAAATTATGACCATGGAATATTAGTGTTTTAGACTTTTTACTATATATATATATATATATATATATATATATATATTTAAATAAAAAGAAAGTTGTCGTCGGATTAGCCTCGAAATCTGGTTTGTGGTCTTTTAAGGTTATATTGTACTCTCTTTCATTTAGTCGACCTCCTCTATCACTGATTTTCAGTTTATCAGTGATTTTTTTACTGCTAGTATTGATATTTTCAAGTATGTTGAGATCACTATTGTTAGCCTTTTTGTAGTTCTTACGTAAAGCCTTATTATATATATATATATATATATATATATATTTAGATAGATAGATAGATAGAATAACTCTGTCAGGATCATTTACCTAAATTCTTTTTTATGAATGATTCATTGTAATATAAATTGAACTGCACCACATATTTGATATATATATATATATATATATATATATATATATATATATATATATATATATATATATATAAATAGAATGGACAAAGTCCGACAATTATTTTAAGACATTTTTATGTTTATAGATAAAAGAATGTATAAACATAAAAATGTTTTTAAAATAATTGTCGGACTTTTGTCCATTTCATAATGCGTGACGTCATTTGTTTACATTTGAAACGCCATGAGCAGATATGAATGTACGTGAGAGATTCATGTAAGATTGAAGTTTAAATACAATAAATTCGACTTTTCTAACCGAATGCTCTTTCGTGGCCAAATCGGTAAAGGCACGTCAAGCTAAATGACGGTTTCCTATAGGATACAGGTTCGAATTCTGTCGGAGGACGAATATTTTCTGTGAAGATTTCTCGGACATTCAGGCCGGTAAATGTTGTTTAATACTGTTTATTATAACAGAGCATTTACTTAAATATGTGTATCTATAAAAAGAATGTATAAACATAAAAATGTCTTAAAATATATATATATATATATATATATATATATGATAAATTCTTTCGTATATATAATGCATAAACTTTATATATCTGATAAAAGATAGCTAAACTGAACAAAAAATGGAAAGAAAAATATCCTGACAGGCGTTTCTGCCCTCAAAAGGATTTGTTCAGACTAAAATAATCTTCTTATTGATGGGATATGTAGGGGGAGAGGACGAAATAAAAACAAACATCGATTATAATTACACATCGAGATAAAAGCCGAAAATCGAATGCTAACTTTTAAACGTCAAATTTCTAGCAATCGATGTATTTAGATGTACAATTTAGCAGATAGAATTAACTTTGCGGGCGAATCTGTTTTGGTTTTTATCACTTTTTTAAAAAATCAATGTCACGGCAGTACAGCCACTAACACGCAAGAGGTTACATGGTGTGGACGAATTACGATTATAAATATTATTAATAAGAAGTAAGAGAGAAGAGAATTCCTGGGGTTATTAGACAGCCATTGGCATTGAATTTAAATTTTTGCAGATTAAAGCTGACTAGAATGCATGCAGCCGTAAGGCAGTTCCACGAACAAGAGGTGCGAGAAAAAGCTGTTAGAATAGAAGTTACGGAAACATCTAGCTACTGTAAATTGATGAGATCTCGACGCCAGTCTAGTGCTCCACTTAAATTCAAAATCTCTAGGTTAGGGTTAGCGTTAATCCTAACCCTAACACTAGGTACCATACCGAAGAACTCACCCGAACAGTTGCCATGAAAGTATTTAAAATAAATAAATAAATAAAAGCACAGAGAGGCAATTTTACGGCGGTGGTCACGTGACTCAAGCCGACGCGCCAGATCAGGACCAATAATATTGCTGATTTTTCTTTGGATCTTATCACGGAGTTCAAGGTAAACAGCAAGCACACCGGACCATATATGGCAGCAATATTCTAAGCATGGACGTATAGTAGACCTGTAGTTATGCAAGATAGATTCAGAAGAGAAGAATTGTCTTGCTTGACACAGTGAATCGACTTATCAGCTGATCTAGCAATGGATTCAGTATAGTCTTTCTACCTTATGTCAGCTGAGAAAGTTAACGCAAGAAGACACAATGAGTCACTATCTAGGAGGTTAGCATCAGCCATGCTGATGGGAGGCAGAGAGGGGTCTCTCTGATAGTTAATAGGGAGAAATTTAGCTTTGGAAGCGTTAAAATTGACAAGTCATCTTTTATCCCGGTTAACGTCGGTTTTGAGGTCGTTTGGTCCATCAGCTGCCATTTTGACCTGATCCGACTGATCATGCTTAGTATCAAGCAAATGGTATTGTCGTCAGCGTAGATGCCAAGTTGAGAGCTGATGCCACCGGGAAGGTCGTTAATGAAGATTAAAAAAAAGCATAGGACTAAGGATGGAGCCCTGGGGGACGCCCGCGTTAATACGAAAGGATCTAGATGAGTGGCCGTTTACAATATGATAAAAACGATTGGATCATCTCATAAGTGAGCCCGGGGATACCGTAACCTTTCAGCTTGTGAAGAAGACCCGAATGCCAGACCCCGTCAAATGCTTTTGCGATTTCCAAAGCTACGACCCTGTCTTAACGGTTTTTATCTGGAGCACAATAGACTCTTTCCGCAATTATCGTTAGTACATCAGCAGTTGACCCGGAGAAAAGAAAACTGTATTGTTTGTCTTAATAAAACGCCTGCGTTGAACTAATTCCGCATTGATTAGGGCCTCTAGGAGTTTCCCCCAAAGGGGTAGAAGTCTAATAGGCCGATTGTTGGAACAACAAACGATGACTTTCAGCAGGAGGCAGCGAGACATTTATTATAGAGTTTAGAGAGAACAGGGGCCAGTTCTGGAGCACACTTCTGAACCCTAGAACACTAATCATCAGTTAAAGTTACACCACTAATAACATGGCATATCATGGCCGATTTTGAAAATATCAAAATATATATATATATATATATATATTTCAATAAAGGAGCAATTAATTTACAAATTCATTAATTATTCATACAAAAACAAATACAAAATGATTTAATTGGCGAGAAATCCATCGCTCGCCAATTAAATCGTTAACCTTTTGTATTTGTTTTTGTATGAAAATTCATGAATTTGTAAATTAATTGCAACTTTATTGAAATTAAAATAACTGATCCAAATGCAACTTTTAGATAATAAGTGCGACATTACTGTAATTATTGAACAATAAAGTTCATAGCCACTTCGACAGAAAATTTTGCCAGTAAAAAAAGAATTCACTTATCACCATATTTGTATAAGAACGCACAATTGTAAAATTTAAATTCAAACTCAGCGTTGCGACAGCACGCTCCAAAAAAACAATAACATTTCTAATAGCATTTTCAGATTTCAACAGTACATATATTTTCGTTGTCCTCTTTATTACTGAGAGTAAAAAACAAGAACAAAATCTATTCCATACCTGATGATGTCTGTATGAACAGACGAAAGCTTGTAAAATAATAAGAACTCATGCAACAGAAATTTATAGAAACAAGGATCTTTTCATTCATAAACAGGTCGGGGTTTTTGTATATTATTTGAATTGTTCGCAACGATGGATTTCTCGCCAATTAAATCATTAACCTTTGTATTTGTTTTTTTGTATGAATAATTCATGAATATATATATATATATATATATATATATATATATATATATAAATATCAATCTTTATTTGAAATATTTTACATGCAGGCACTTCAAACTTTGTACTTTGAGTTAACATTAATAGGAACTGAAAAACATTATTTAGGTAAGAAAACCAGGTACTGAAAATTGTAATTAAAAATAGGAAAATTTGCGCTGGGTACTATATACCCAAGGTTAGTGTTCTACGGTTAATGACTACTACAGGGATGTAACCGGGTTAACATGCTTTTGGTTAGAGATGATAGGAGAGATTTTGGGAGGTTTATATGCATAGCACTCAGCAGAGAATCAGTTCGAAGTAGGAAGTTAGATAGGTGTTGTGGTAGGATCCACCTAATTTGCATAGTGGAGTACCGACCATATAAATATGGTTGGTACCGGGAAGAGAGGAAGGAATCAAGAGATTCAACCAGAGACTCTGTCCGACTGCGACTCAGTCAACACATTCTCCAGGAACGGTCTTACCAGGAATATACAAAAGACTATATGTAAATATTGTGTACACTTTCTTGCTTCAATACATTTTGTTCTAAGTATATTTTGTGTTGTATTATTATTCCATACATTACTCAAGTTTCAACAATAGGGATACTCCAGATGAGGTAAGAGTAAAGTTTGTGCTTTGACAGCATTCAGCTTTATCGGCAAAGGATGATAACACCTTATTTCGATTGAAGATGGAGGGACTAGAGACCTTACACTTATTTAGTACCCTATTACAGAGACGCCAGTAGTGACGAGAGTCAAAGTTTTTGGAGACAATGCCTCATTTTTTCAGCAAACAGGGACTTGTCTCCTTCGAGGAATCGCTTACATTTGTTACAAGTACGCACAAACACGCACCATATATGACAGAAAAGAAAGAAAGAAAGAAATAGGATTTAAAGAAAGAGAAAATAGATAAATAAAAACGCTAAAATAAAGACGAAAAAAGAAAGAAGGAAATAAATAAATAAAAAAAGAAAGAAAAACAGAAACAAACAAGGGGACCTAAAAAGAATGGGAAAAATGAATAAAGGAAAAATATGAAAAGAAAGAAAGAAATAGGCCCGAAAAGAAAGGGAAAAATGATTAAAAAACATGTCAAAAGGAAGGTGACAAAGGCCAAAAGAAAGAAAAAAAGAAAGAAATAGGAAGTAAAGAAAGAGAAAATAAATAAAATAAACACTAACATAAAGATGACAACGACCAAAAAGAAAGAAAGAAAGAAAGAACGAAAGAAAGAAAGAAAGAAAGAAAGAAAGAAAGAAAGAAAGAAAGAAACAGCGCCAAAGACAGAAAGAAAGAAAAAAATCAGAAACAAAGATGGAGACCTAAAAGAATGGAAAAAATGAACGAAGAAAAAATACTTAAAAAAAGAAATAGTCCTCAAAAAAAGGAAAGAAAAATCAAACAAAAAAAAACACATTAAAAGAAAGATGAGCAAAAAAAGAAAGAAAGAAAGTTTAAAAATCGACGAGAAAATGACAAGAAAATGATATAAAGGTTAAGTAAAGACGGGCAGTAAGAAAACTGATTGGAAAAAAAGTGTAAAAGAGGAAAAAATGTAGATAAACAAATGAGAAAGAAAGTAAAGAAGAAATAGTTTTAACAACGAAAAGAAAGAAACGATGAAAAAGAAAGAAAAAGAAGGAACAAAGAAGAAATTCGTCCTTGACAAAGTTCTCCTGAGAAAACATTTTTTTTTCTTTTCATGGTATAGCATTTCCTGTTCTTACCATCTGTTAATTCCATCCATTGCTATAGCGTCCTTAGTTGGCCTTCTTCTTTCCTTAATGACTTTACCGGGTGTAAATATAAATTACCCGTGATTCTTCACTCGACAAATTCGGTAAAATTCTGTCGACTAATCTCTCATCCATCTGGTGTCTACGAAATTTCACACACGCCACGAAATTCGTCATATTTGCAGTATGTATTTATTCAGTTGAAGACCTTATTAGTTTAGTCGGTAAAGGCAAAACCTATGCCAACTGTTATATGCTTGTAAAATCCGTGTTTGTTTGCTAATGGGATAAGTCTTCGTGATTTATTTGCATCTTCTTTTCTCGCTGTTTTTGGCCGATGAGTTTTTCAGGTTTTCAATTGCTGCACGTCGAAATTCAGCACTCGATGACTGATGGAAAAAACAACAACGACAACAATACCCCCCCCCTCCTAAAAAAATCCCCAAATCTACTGGAAGAAAATCAAGCGTTACCAGATGTGGTACACACTTGAGCGTGGCTGGATAACGCATCGGTCGAATACGTTACCATAAAAACAACAAAGATGAAGATATTGGTTCAAATACTTTTTTTTGCAAGTGCCGCGTCCCTTCATGGGCGATCATTGTTCTCCACAACTTCCCGCCCTTTGTACCCCTTAGTAAAGTTTGTCTTTTTTTTTTTGCTATATCTCCTAACCACTTTTCTGCAAACTAGCTCGTTATTCACTGCTTTCCTCTAACATCTCTTGCCTACAATGTCCTGTTAGTGTCAAATTTACCAAGCCCTCTTTCCTCATTATGTGCCCTAGAAATTTTAACAGTTCCTTTCTAATGCTACATGTAAGTGTCGTTTTTTGCTTCCATCATTATTCTCAGTATCCTACTGTAGAGCAATATTTCTCTTCCCCCTCTGTTTGTCTTTCTCTGCCATATAGGAGAAACGATTATACAGAAAAGTTTATTATTTTTTTACATTTTTTTTTTTCAATTAAATTTTCCTATTTCTTAATGGTTTGCTTAACTTTTAGAAGGTATTTTCGCTATTCCAATTTGCCTTCGCACTTCAGTGTCGAAATGTCCATCTTCAGTTCAAAGACTTTCTAGATATTTAATTTTTGTTTTAGATGAATTTTTGCTTCTCCCAAAAATATATTATTTAGCTCTAAAAGGGAACTCTGCCAAAAATACAAAAAAGATGAAAAAGACAAAAAAAGAAAAAAAAAAAAAAAAAAAAAAAAAAGCAAACAAAGAACCCAATGAAACAATGAAAGAAATAAAGAAAGAAGGAACAAGAGGAAGACAGAATGGAAAAAAGAAAGAAATAATGAAAGAAAGAATGAATGAAAGAAAGGAAGAAAGAATTAAAAAAAAAAGAAAGGAAAATATCAAACAAAATGACGGAAAAAACGCTATATGAAAGAAAAAGAAAAGAAAATTTTATTTCTTAGGGAGGTGATTTTTATGAAAATGCATGGATGGCGTTACGGTTTTCGGATAAGAAAGTTTATTCAATACAAGGTTCGAGAGCCACTCAAGGTAGAGAGTATCTATTAAAATGGTAATGATGAATGCTATAATAATGAAAGAAGAGTTCGTGGGAAGATAAGAAAAGACAGATAATGATTGCGCCTCAACTCGATTTCACCAAGTATCGAGAGTTTGTTCATCTGGAAAATCAGCATTTGAATTCCTGGAAAATCAGCCTCTGAATTCCTGGAAAATCAGCATTTGAATTCCTGGAAACAAGTACTACTACCAGGCATCAGCAACTTTTCACAGTGATATTATATCCTAATTTTAATTCTAAATTAATGACGCAAATGACAATCAATCATATACCATTTCGTTTCAGGAAGAATTTAACAAGTTTCGCCTCAGCTTCCTTTCTGTTAATAAACGCTAATTTCCATAACTTATTGGAAGAATTAGTTGTTTCAGGTGTTGTCTGTAGAAGTTTTAATTCAGAGTTTTCCTTCTTTGAGCTAACACTGACCATACGAGCATGCCTAATCATATGACTGATGATGAATAATGGCGATAAATTGCCATGACTTCTCTATAATTTTGAATTCAAAATAGTCTCTCCCCTAGACCATTTGGGAGACCTATTTAACCCATAGCTGAGAGAAAAAGAGATCCATTGCTACCTTTTCCAAGGCCATTAGTAGGAAACTGAACGCCCAGCCCTGAATTCGAACTCAGCTTCCATTTTTTTATGCTGATCACCGTTACACTACAGGACTGCGGTCGCATTACATTGAAACACAGTTTCCCGCGCCTTCACCAAAGTTAAGCAAAGTCAAGCCTGTTTAGTACCTAGATGGGGGACCGCTTCGGGATACCAGGAGCTGTGATATTGGATGTGCGTGTAGAAACGGTTTACGGCTATATGACGTTGAAACACCAGCTGTCGTACGATCGCCGAAGTTAAGCAACGTCGAGCCCTGTCAGTGCCTAGATGGGCGACCGCTTGGGAGTACCAGAAGCTGTAAGATTGAATGTGCGGGCGGTGTAATGGATAATGGTTCGGAATTGTTCATTGGAGTTCGAGTTGGATTCGTTGTATTGGCTTATACGCAAATTGTAAAGGCATGAATCCACCACTTCTCCCTCCAGCTATAAGTTAATTAGTAAGTCTTGTAACACACACACACACACACACAAACAATCTCAAGAAGTAAAATTGTGTACAAAATATTTAGATTTCGGTATTAAATAACCCAGAGATGTCGATATGACGCTAGAGAAAAATAACGAGCCATCCAACAGACCAAATTACGCTACCTGAATAACCTAATTAATTAGATGGGGAGAGATTTGCGAGTAAGAATGTTGAAATATACCAAAGGTTTCAAGTGTGCAAGACTTGCTGTTTTGTTTGTATATTCTTACTGTACTAAGTGGGATAGGATTGGAATTTCTTTGAGGAATTTTGTTTGTGATGACACGATAATTGCTGGGGGCCAAAATAAACAAAAAAACAGTCACACCAAACTTGAGAGCCTGTGAAATGTGGCAGTGGAAGAGGTGTGTCGTCTCTCGGCTTGTGCCTCCCAAAGAATTCACCAGAGAAAAAGGCGAGAGACATAGAGAGACACCGAGAGAGATTGGGAGTGTGTGCGTGTGCTAAATTATAAAATCGTTCGTCTCCCGTCTCATCAAGTTTTTAATTTACTTCAGAGGCTGCGAAAATAAAGAACTCTTTTTACTTTGGCGTCGCTCGCTGAGGATTAATAGCAAACATTTGACGTTATATGAAATCAGGTAACGCAATAGTTTTTGGCTTGTAAGACGAAGCCGGTATGCTGAGTTCGAACTATGACCGAGCTTGTTTCGTTCACTTTGTAATTGGCGATCATGGCTCTCCACAATTTCCTGTCTTTTCTAGCTCTTAATATATACTCTTCTAAACCTTGTTCCACCATGCATTTATTCAAGCTTGCTATGTAGGTTATGTTTTGTTTTTCTCTGTCCCTTCGATACCCACAGGACATATTTCAATATGTACTATGGGTATCTAATTTTCCAAGCCTTCTTTCCGAAGTATGTACCCCAGAAAGTTCAACTCTCTCTCTTTGATGCTAAGTATAAATGTCCTTGTTGTTTCCATTTTCTCTAAATCTTCGTCGTTGTTCACATGTTCGGTCAATGGTATTCTCAGCATGCTTCTGTAGAACCACATTTCTGTTGCTTCAAGTCTCTTCTTTATGTTCGATCCAGGGTATTCTCTCTTCCCGATGTTAAGTATAAGTGTCCTTTTTGTTTCCATTTTCTGTAAAACCTCATCGTTGCTCACATGTTCGGTCCATGGTATTCTCAGCATCCTTCTGTAGAATCAGGTTTTTTTTTTTTTGCTTCAAGTCTCTTCTTCATCTCTATGGGGATCGTCCATTATTGACTGTCATATAAAAAGATCAATATCACATAAGAGTTCGGTACTCTTTTCTTTTTTTTAACAACATTTTCCTGTTTCTTAATACTGTGCTTTTCTTTTGAAAGGCATCTTTGGCTATTCCAACGCGCTTTCGGATTTCAGTGTTGAACTTTCCGTTCTCTTTTCAAACAATTTAAATTTTTGTACTTGGTATTTTTGGCATCTCTAAATTGTATTTTCCATGTGAGGCTGTATCATAACAATGTATTCTGTCCTCTTGCAACGGATGCTTAGTCCTTTCTTCCCGCTTTCGTTGACTATCTTCTGTAAGTGTTCTTGTAGTTTCCTTTCTGTGTTTGCTGCCAATAGTGTGCCACCTGATTATCTTATGTTGTTAAGATTGTGGTGCCAATAACAAATCCTGGTAAATTTGACACTAACAGGACATTGTAGGCAAGAGATGTCAGAAGAAAGCAGGGAATAACCTCTGCCTGACGAGCTAGTTTGCAGAAAAGGGGTTAGGAGATATATATATATATAAAAAGACAAACTTTACTAAGGGGTACAAAGGGCGGGAAGTTGTGGAGAACAATGATCGCCCATGAAGGGACGCGGCACTTGGAAAAGAAGAAGAATTTGAACCAATATCTTCATCTTTGTTGCTTTTATGTTAACGTATTCGACCGATGCGTTATCCAGCCACGCTCAAGTGTATACCACATCTGTTAACGCTTGATTTTCGTCTAGTAGATTTTGGGATTTTTTGGCGGTTTTTTTTGTGGGGGGGATATTGCTGTCGTTGTTGTTTTTCCATCAGTCATCGAGTGCTGAATTTCGACGTGCAGCAATTGAAAACCTGAAAAACTCATCGGCCAAAAACAGCGAGAAAAGAAGATGCAAATAAATCACGAAGACTTATCCCATTAGCAAACAAACACGGATTTTACAAGCATAGAACAGTTGCCACTGGTAGGACTTCTAATTCTCTCAGAATTGCCTCGCAGTATAGGTTGAATAAGTCCGGTGAGAGGACACATCCCTTTCTTACACCTCTTACTATTTTGTTGAATTTTTAACTGAACTCATTTTCTATCAGTGTGTAGGCCTAGAGAGGACTGTTGTTTCTTGCTTTTAAGCAGTAAACAGTCATGATTAAGAAAACTTGAAAAACTGAAGCAATGTTTTGCTCCTTGACCAAAACATATCTTTAGCTTTGTCACACTGTCTTCTGCACATGCGTGCATATAGTTGGTACTAGCAGTAGAGCCCGGCGTTGCCCGGGGATGTAACAGAAAGAGACAGATTAAGTATCGACCATCATAAAGACTGAAAAATAAAATTGACAAAGATTATTGTTTAAGGTTGACGGACACGCATGTCTTATTTAGTTTTTTTTTTTACGAATTGGTCAAACCCAAACTGAAACAAAAACATTGTTTTCAATCGTTATGAGTCTATCGATTGAATAGAATTTTATTATAAACAATTGTCTTGTAAATGGAATTTTTAAAGCATTCCGAATGTAAAAATAAAGAAAAAAGTGTGCAAGATAATAAGACACACTACCTGCCAAAATAAAAGTGAAGTTTTGTTGAAATCGGTTGAAAAATGTAGGAAATCCGATCCCATATATAAACGAACACACACACACAAACAACCAACCAACCTGGGTTTTATAATAAGTCTAACTCGATAACTCGATATTAATAAGTATAACTCGATATGAGTTGTCCCCATTTCATTAATGCCTCTTCATCGTGTTTTCAAATTGATTTCGTGTAAAAACAATTGTATTTTTCCAATTTTTGGCGCTGTCAGAAATTTTACGTAGTCCTGTGAAGTTTTGTTGAAATCGCTTGAAAAATTTAGGAAATCCGATCCAATATATAAACACACACACACACACACACACACACACACACACACACACACACACACACACACACACACAATCTGCGTTTTATAATAAGTAAGATTATTGTGGTCACGGGGTCAACGTTTGTGCCTAATCGTGCCAGTTTTCTTGCTGCTGTTACAGTGTAAACATGGTCGCTCCGTTAGCAGTATGCACCAAGGAGGAACAGTGATTCGAATCTGCAGGGAACAGGCTACCTTATCGATGATACCTCGTCGATTCGCCATCACCATCACTCGATTCTGCTGAATCTTCTCGTGGGGGACGTTGAAGGGCGTCCCGTTTCTTTTTCGCCCGTTAAGCCCGTCCGGCCACGTTTAGACTTCTCGATCTACTCATAGATATGTCTACGCCGTAGGACGGTGCACTGTCGTTGTAATGTATTAAAAGCCTCGATGAATGTCAGCCCCTGACACATATACCGACCAGAATATCAGCCCATATGAGAATACATACATCTGAAGAAGGCTGGAAAGTACAACTGCTGAAACGTCGTGAGTAAAAGAAGATAATGATACTGTTCAGAATATAAGGCATAAAAAAACAGATGTCTGACGAAGGCCGTAATATACAACGATTGAAACGTCGCGAGTATAACAGCCAAGATAATCATACTGTTCAGAATATTAAGGTACATAATAAGACAGACGTCTGAAGAAGAACGTAAGGTACATAGTCGAAACGTTGTACGTATAACGGCCAAGATCATCGCACTTTCTATAATAGCAAGTCATATAAGACAGACGTCTGAAGAAGGATGTAAGATGCAGTGACCGAAACGTTGTGAGTATAACAGCCAAGATCATTGCACTGTCCAGAATAATAAAGCATATAAATATCTAGACACCTGAAGAAGGCCGTAGAGTGAAAGGACGGAATTGTCGGGGAATAACAACCAAGGTGTTCAGGCTGGTCAAAAAGAGCAAGTACCAGACGTCTGAAGAATGCCGTAAGGTACAATGCCCGAAACATTGTGAGTATAACAACAAAGATTATTGTGCTGGTTAAAATAGAAAGACATATAATGACAAACGTCTGAAGAAGATCGTAAGATAGAGTGGTCGAAACGTTGTGGGTATAACAAACCAGATGAGCACGCATATTAACAACTAGACACCATAAAAATGCCATAGAGTATACAGAACGAAATTGGGGAGAATAACAACCAATATGTTCAGGCTGGTCAGAATAGTAAGGGATATAGCTACAGGTGTCTGAAGAAGGCCATAAGGTGCAATGTCCGAAATGTCGTGAGTATAACGACCAAGATTATCGCGCCGGTCAGAATAGCAAAAAGCATATAACCAGATAGACACCTGAAAAAAAAACGTAGATTACAAAGGTCGAAATGTTGGGAAGATAACAACCAAGATAATAATGCTGGCTTTGCGTCTGGGACGATATCCGTTGTCAGCTGATATCACATTAAGGACACATCTGCAGGATGTTACAAAAATCGTTTTGACAATTATCATCTTGACAAAGAATGTCAGCTAAGTAGAGCTGATCTTCCAAGAACCAGGTCAACCAAAGCTGAGTTCTTAATGAATCACTGATTTGTTTTGGTGTTTTTTGCACGAAGGCTGACAAGATAAAGGTTTGTTCTCTATAAGACAGTGGTCCCTATCAGTCTAAATCAGAAGACAGCTCTCCCTCCACGCTGAAGGAATCCACATGGTTAATCCGTTCACCTCCCCAGCTTCACCTCGCCTCACCTTTTCTCTCTTGCATATGGCTGGTCATTACGAAGAGTTTCTAACGGAATAAAATTTGCCGACTGCTAAAATTTCCTCGCATGGTTTTATTTCCTTGTGTAATGATCCGACCAAAGAATTATTTTTCTTGTATTAAGCCATAAGCGTTCAACTAGAAGAAGTTGCACTCTGTGAGCAAACGTTACACGTTTTCAGAGCCATTCTCTGCAGAAAAAAGGTACTTGGATGATTATTTTAAAAGATTTACCAGCGGCACATTAAGGGTGTTGGCAATAAAGATGGAGAGTGATGTCTTTGACAGAATTTAGTAACACCTCGCTGACTATAGTTTCTTCTGCTTCTTCCAGTACTGCGCGAAACATTTTACAAGTTCTCCAGGTACGATTCTTTTGATCTAAATTGATAAATATTGTCTTTTTCTTTGCTGGTAAAATGTACATTATAAGATCTATCAGGTCATCCCATAACTTCTGTCCGAATTTTGAATAAATAAAACAAGTGACTAAATGTTACATTTAATTACAGATTCAATCAACAATGTATTTTCCCTGATTATCTATGACTTCCTTCCATCTATTAACAAGCTTACTAATTCCATTACTGTAAAATTCTTTTGACTTTGATTCGAAGAACTCGCAAATGTCAGTTTTAACTTCTTCCTGTGTTACAAAAACTGTTTCTTTTAAATGATTCTGTAATCTACGAAACAAACGGTAGTCTGAAGGAGCAAGATCGGGAGAATAAAGTGGATGAGGAATTTTCTCCCAACCAAGTTCTTCGATCTTTTGTGACATGATTCTTGCTGTGTGGTTTCGCGCATTGTCCTGATGAAACATCACCTCTTTTCGATTCACTAGAGCAGGTCTTTTTTTCCTCAAAGCTTGGTTCAAACGCTCTAATTGCTTACAGTATATTTGAGCATTAATTGTTGCATTAGATGGTAAGAATTCAAAGTGGATTATTCCTTGGCGATCCCACCGGATTGAAAGAAGAACCTTTTGCCCATGAAGTTCCCTTCTCGGCTGTGGCTGGGGTCCTTCCTCTTTACCAAGCCACTGTCTACGAGGCTTAACATTTCGATAAAAGATCCATTTTTCCTCGCCAGTCACAAGTCTATCCAAAAAAGGTGAAACAAGTTGGCGAGAATGGAGAGAAGAGCAGATGTCAACTCGGGATTTGAGGTTGGTTTCAGACAATTCATGAGGCACCCATTTTCCAAGTTTAGGAACTTTTCCAAGTTGTTGAAGATAACGATGAACAGTTGTATGGTTTGAACTGAGAACCACTGCCAATTCCTCAACTGATAAAGCAGGATTTTCTTCAAGGGCTGCTTCAAGAAGCTTTTCATCAAACTCAACTAGACGTCCGGTTCGATCTTCATCTTCAAGGGTGAAATCTCCACCTCTGAATTTTGCAAACCATCTTCTGTAAGTTCTTTCATTCACACATTCCTCTCCATAAACTGAGTGAATGTTTCTAGCCGCTTCGGCTGCTGAGTTTCCTTTCTTGAACTCATAAAGCATTATGTGCCTCAAATGATTCTTGGGTACTTCTATGTTAGCAGGGTTTTAATCAAACTAAATTTAATTTTATTGTTCTCTGAAATAAAATTGGACCAGTTTAAATGCATCTAAACATAAAAATAATGTTCAGCTCCATTAGACATTATAAAATACTCTTTAAATTTCGTTCATTTTAAAAAAAGGTAAAATTCGGACAGAACTTATGGGATGACCTGATAGTAATACTTCTTCTTTTTATGCGCAGTAGGCGATTGTGTTTCTCCAAACCTCCTACTCTTTGTAACGTTTTTCTTTACAGTAGGGTTCAACTTGTACAAGGCCTGGGACCACTCAAGGTAGAAGGTTACATTAAGAGGCCGCTTACGCGGGTAGGAGAGAAAGATAACGGTTAACCCTAGACACGAAACGTTAAGATTGTAGTGATTGGGAAAGCATCCTCTTGGGAGTCAGTTCCACTGAAAGAAGCAGCTCAACACGAACTTACATCTCAGGAAAAGAATACAAAGAGAATGAGGGTGATTCGCTACAATGGGCGTGGCAGAGTGGGTCTTAGCCGTGAAAGTTAGAACTGGCTTAACCAAGGAATGTAGTTCGTCCGAGGACTTTTCATTGAAGCGGGCAATAGACCAGTAAGTTTGCCACATACCGCCTGTAAAAGAAAGGTTGGAGGATGGAAAATAATTTGTCACCCACAAAGACTCGGAGATGCCTTGGGACTCTCGCGAGACTAGAATTTGAGGACTAAGCATCTCCAGTCCAAATATGACAACAGTACGCCATTTTAGGGTTCATCTGGGCTAAGCAGTTTTTGTCACTTTATTATTTCTCCCAGTCACTGTTCAGTTTTTCATTCACCCCAAGCAAGGCAATAAAGCCACTAAGACGCAATGGGTTACTGAATGTTAATGTATATGAAGAAAAAAAAACATGTGAGAGAACAATAAAAAAACAGGAATTAAAAAAAACGGGAATTAAGATGACAGAAGAAAACGATTTATTCCTCTTTCAGTATGCCCTGTGAGTGTCAAATTCTCCAGGCTTTATTTCCTCAATGTATATCCCAGAAATGTCATATATATTTATATCTGATTCTGAATTAACGTGCGCTTTCTTTGTTTCTATTTCGATTAAAACTTCCTCGTTGATCATATGTGCAGTCTATGGGATTCTCTTCATCTTTCTGTAAAACTACATCTCCAGTTCACTCTTCATCTGTGAGGGATTTGTCCAGTATTTCATGTCACAGGCGAATTGCTATTTCATAGCAGTTTAGCACTCTTTATTTCTAAGGAAATATTTCTTTATACTTTATATATTGTTGAATTTTTAAAAGGCATCATTCTCTCTCACGATACGCCTTGGGATTTCTGTGTCAAATTTTTCTATCGTCCGTTATGACATCTCCAAATAGTTGGTTTTGACGTTTCAAATTCGTAGCTCGTGTATTGTGGCGTTTCTCTTGCTATTTCAAGTGATTCTATGTTATTGTCTTGTAATTACATGAAAGGCACTATAGATTTTCATTCGTAGGCATCGGTTTCTATGAATAAATGAATATAAAATGACAGTAAAGGGGATAAGAAGAAAGAAAGGGCAGATGTAGAAAGAAAGGAAGAAAGAAAGAAAGGAAGAAAGAAAGAAAGGAAGAAAGAAAGAAGGAAAGAGAGAATGAACAAAGAAAGTAACAAGTAAATCTCCCCGCACAAAAATATAAGAGAAAAAAGACAGCAAGAAAAAAGAAAGAAAAAACAAAGAAAGTAAGAAATAAAATAAATAAAGAGAAAGGTACAGAGCAACAAAAGAACGAAAGAAAGCAAGCAAGTAAGAAAGAAAGAAAGAAATAAAAGGAAAGAAAGAAAGAAAAGAAAGAAAGAGGGAACGAAGAAAGTAACAAATAAACCCACGAAAATAAAAATAAAGTTAGAGAGCAGCAAAAGAACGAAAGAAAGAAAGAAAGAAAGAAAGAAAGAAAAAAAAAGGAAAGAAAAAAGAAATGAAAGAAAGAGGGAAGGAAGAAAGTAACAAATAAATCCCCCTAAAAAAAATAAAAGACAAAAGTACAGAGCAATAAAAGAACGAAAGCAAGCAAGCAAGCAAGAAAGAAAATAAGAAAGAAAAGAAAAGAAAGAAAGAAAGAAAGAAAGAAAAGAAAGAAAGAAAGAAAAAGGAAGAAAGTAACAAATAAATCCCCCAAAATAAAGAGAAAGGTAGAGAGCAACAAAAGAACGAAAGAAAGAAAGAAAAGAAAGAAAGAAAGAAAAGAAAAGGAAAGAAAGAAAGAAAAGAAAAGGAAAGAAAGAAATGAAAGAAAGAAGGAACGAAGAAAGTAACAAATAAATCCCCGAAAATAAAGAGAAAATTAGAGAGCAGCAAAAGAACGAAAGAAAGAAAGAAAGAAAGAAAGAAAGAAAAGAAAAGGAAAGAAAGAAAGAAAGAAAGAAAGAAAGAAAAGAAAAGGAAAGAAAGAAAGAAATGAAAGAAAGAGGGAACGAAGAAAGTAACAAATAAATCCCCCCCCCAAAAAAATAAAAGACAAAAGTACAGAGCAATAAAAGAACGAAAGAAACCAGGCAAGCAAGAAAGAAAATAAGAAAGAAAAGAAAAGAAAAGAAAGAAAGACAGAAAGAAAGAAAGAAAGAAAGAAAGAAGGAAAGGAAGAAAGTAACAAATAAATCCCCCAAAATAAAGAGAAAGGTAGAGAGCAACAAAAGAACGAAAGAAAGAAAGAAAAGAAAGAAAGAAAGAAAGAAAAGAAAGAAAGAACGAAGACAGCGACAAATAAATCCCCAAAAAATACAAGAGAAAGAATGACTGTAAGCAAAGAACGAAAGAAGGAAAGAAAGCAAGCGAGAAAGAAATAAAGAACCAAGAAAGTACCATATAAATCACCCAGAACAAAAGAAAGGTACAAAATATTGCAAGTAACGAAAGAAAAGAAAGAAAGAAAGAAAAGAAAAAATAAAAAATAAAAAAGACTGAAAGAAAGAAAGAAAGAAAGAAAGAAAGAAAGAAAGAAAAAAATAACAATTAAAACCCCCAAAATAAAAAGAAAAGTAGATTAAATTGAAGGAAAACAAGAAAAAAAGAAAGAAAGAAAGAAAGAAAGATGGAAAGAAGGAACGAAAAAAATAACAAATAAATCTCCCCCAAAAATAAAAGAGAAAGAAAAACTGCAAGAAAAGAAAGAAAGAAAGATGGAAAGAAGGAACGAAAAAAATAACAAATAAATCTCCCCCAAAAATAAAAGAGAAAGAAAAACTGCAAGAAAAGAAAGAAAGAAAGAAAGAAAGATGGAAAGAAAGAACAAAGAAAGTAACAAATAAATCCTCCCAAAATAAAAGAGAATGAAATATAGAATTAGAAGTGAAAAGAAAGAAAGAAAAATGTTAAACAAATAAGGAAGGAAAAAACAAACAAAAAAATATAAACAAAACAAATAAAAAAGGAAAAAAGAAAGAAAAAAATGAAAATGAAAGAAAGAAAGATGGAAATATAATGAACGAAAAAATAACAAATAAATCTCCCCAAAAATAAAAGAAAAGAAAAACTATCAGAAAGAAAGAAAGAAAGATGGAAAGAAAAGAATGAAAAAAAAAGAGTAATAAATCTCCCCAAAATAAAAAAGAAACAAAACTGCAAGAAAATGAAAGAAAGAAAGAAAAGAAAGAAAGAAAAAAAGAAAAAAAGTAACAAAAAAAAAAAAACAATTTAAAAAAAAGAAAGAAATATAAAATTAGAAAAAAAAAAAAGAAAAAAATGAAACAAATAAACAAAAAAAAAAATAAAAACAAAAAATAAAAAAAAAACAAATAAAACACTAAATAAAGAAAAAAAAAAAATGAAAAATGAAAAAGACATAAAAACAAAAAAATAAATGAACAAAAAAATCAGAATGAAATCAAAGATAAAAATCAATGAAAGAAATAACTAACCAGAAAGAAAAACTTAGAAACAAGGTAAAAAAAAAGAAAAAAAAAAAAAGTAAGAAAAGCAAAGAATTAAATAAAAAAGAAACAAAAAAAAAAAGAAAAAAAAAAGAAAAATATAAAGAGAAAAAAGAAAAAAATAAAAAAAAAAGGAAAGGAAAAACAAAAAAACAATTTAACGAGAAAACAAAGAAACGGAAAAGAAAGAAAAAAAAAAGAGGCAAAATGAAACAACCAAACAAAGAAAAAGAAATAAGAAAGGGAAATAAAGAAAGAAACAATTAATGACACTAAATAAAGAAAAAGAAAAAAAAGAAGAAAAAAGAAATAAAAATTAAAAAAAAGTAAAACAAGAAAGGAAAAACGATAAAACAAAGAAAAAAAATAAAAAAAAAAAAAACGAAAAAAACAGAGAGAAGGAAAACCTTAGAAACAACAAAAGAAAGAAAAAAAAAAAAAGAACGTAAAAAAAAAGAAAACGATAGAAACAGAAAAGAAAGAAAAGAAAACATAAGAAAGAAAAAAAAAAAATTTTTTATAAAAATTCTTAACGTAAAACAAGCAGAGAAGGAAAAACGATAAAACAAGGTAAAAAAAAAAAGAAAAAAAAAGAACGTAAAACAAGAAGAGAAGGAAAAACGATAGAAACAAGGTAAAAAAAAAAGAAAAGAAAAGAACGTAAAACAAGCAGAGAAGGAAAAACGATAGAAACAAAGGTAAAAAAAAGAAAGAAAAGAAAAGAACGTAAAACAAGAAGAGAAGGAAAAAACGATAGAAATAAAGGTAAAAAAAAGAAAGAAAAAAGAAAAGAACGTAAAACAAGAAGAGAAGGAAAAACGATAGAAACAAGGTAAAAAAGAAAGAAAAGAAAGAACGTAAAACAAGAGAAGGAAAAACGATAGAAACAAGGTAAAAAAAAAAAAAGAAAAGAAAAGAACGTAAAACAAGTGTGAGAAGGAAAAACGATAGAAACAAGGTAAAAAAAAAGAAGAAAAAGAAAGAACGTAAAACAAGCAGAGAAGGAAAAACGATAGAAACAAGGTAAAAAAAAAAAAAAAAGAAAAGAACGAAAACAAGAAGAGAAGGAAAACGATAGAAACAAGGTAAAAAAGAAAGAAAAAAAAAAAAACGTAAAACAAGAAGAGAAGGAAAAAACATAGAAACAAAAATAAAAAAAAGAAAGAAAAAGAAAAGAACGTAAAACAAGCAGAGAAGGAAAAACGATAGAAACAAGGTAAAAAAAGAAAGAAAAAGAAAAGAACGTAAAACAAGAAGAGAAGGAAAAACGATAGAAACAAGGTAAAAAAAAAGAAAGAAAAAGAAAAGAACGTAAAACAAGCAGAGAAGGAAAAACGATAGAAACAAGGTAAAAAAAAAAAGAAAAAGAAAAGAACGTAAAACAAGAAGAGAAGGAAAAACGATAGAAACAAGGTAAAAAAAGAAAGAAGAAAAAGAAAAGAACGTAAAACAAGCAGAAATCTATCCGCCATTCTTTCTGCAGTTAACATGGCAAATAATTCAGCTCACTTAAATGCCAGGTTGTTAAAGCTATGTTGACCGATATCATTAACCAGTTTTCGCAGGATCTTATAATTCTGCTTGCCCCTCCCTTAGCTGTACCCTGCCAATAGCTTCATAATTAATAGACTATTCCATTTTGATCGCGTGAAAAGACGGAAAAGACATATCCGAATCGCTTCCTGGTTTCAATGAGCAAAAGAAAGAAAGAAAGAAAGGGAAGATATTCTGCCAATATCTCATAAATAAAGAACTATTTCGATTTGATCGCATGGAAATAAAGAAAAGGCATATCAGAGACGCTACGTGAGTTTGTTGAACGCAAAAGCGTCAAACCCAGTGTCATATGGTAAGTACATTTTTGGACACAACACACACACACACACACACACACACACACACACACACACACACACACACACATATATATATATATATATGAAGAAAAATATATAGAAAAAACAAACAAAAATCCTAATATGCGATTATGCAGTTTTAATGTTTAATGTCAACGTTGGATGTTTCGGTCTAATAGACCATCTTCAGGACATATTCATAAAACATAATTAACATAGACAATATACAATTCAACATGAAAAAGACGATGGACATAAAAGCAAGACCAATCCAAACAGACAACTGAAATCTTTTATAAGATCAGCGTTCCGTTTAAATATGATCACGTCGTCGTCACGTGGGCGATGTTGTGAAAACGTATTTCTAAAATTTGAGTATTTTGAATGAAAAACGAAAAGAATTTTATTTTGATCTAAAACTTATATGTACGTTTGTCGAGCATTAATCTTGCTAGAAAAGGGGAAAAAGATTTCAAGTTTTCACTGTGTGAGATAGATATTGTGCCTGCTTCATAATTTCAAATATATATATATATATATATATATATATATATATATAATAGATTTTTTAGTAAAAAATTCAGATTATTGTTTTGTGTTTGAATCCGATTACTAACAAAAAAGAGAATGTAATAAAATATTTAACATTGAACAGAGAATAAGGAAAAATATATTATTTTTAATAATATAAATTCCGCTTTACCTGAAGACGGTCGCGAGACCAGAAACACGTCGTAAAATTATGTAAAACAAAGCATAATATTTTTTTTCAAATAAATCCACATTACAACCAAAAACGTTTGCGGCACCTCTCTTCTTCTATTTAATATACATATTTTCTTCGTTGAACCACTACAACCTCTTTCTTATATATATATATATATCGGGTGTAACAGCAAAATTGACCAAATTGTGTTGTCCAATTGTTAGATTAATTTCTGAATCAGTGTATCTTAAAAGTGATTAAAGATATCTTACTGGAATTGAATTTGAGCAATAAGAACGCATAGTTACTAATATTTGGTGAAATTGATCATAAATGAAAAATGAAAAATCATTAATTAATCATTTTTAACGCTTCGTCGTTTTCCGGGTGACCTTCTTTTAAGCGCTGGTCATGTGGGCCTGACATTTTCAACCGATGGCAATATCGATTTTCTATCCAGAACAGCATCATTCCAACGTAACATGAAAGAAGCACGAATCTCTCTTTGAGTTGCAATTACAGATTCACCAGTCTTGGAAGACGTTTCAACAGCAAACGCAAGGTCTTTACCGGTGGAAGCGATAATGTTAACGGATGGTACTGAAAAGTAAATGGTAAGACATTCGCTACCCGAAGTCACCACTTGTTTAAGAACATTAGCATCACACGGTGACAGTTTAAATATTGGAGGGGTGGGTTATTTGTTAATTTGCTTTTTCTTTCTTTCTTTCCTTCGTTCTTTTCTTGCTGTCTTTCATTCTTTTTTATTGGGGTGGGGGTATTGTTTCTTTTTTGCTTTCTTTCTTTTTTGCTTTCTTTTTTTTCTTTGTCCTTTTCTTGTTGTCTTTCATTCTCTTTGATTTTTTTTTAAATATTTGTTAATTTCTTTGTTCTTTCTTTCTTTCTCTCTTGGCTTCTTTCGTTCTTTTCTTGCAGTTTTTCTTGCTTTTTTTTATTACCGGGAAGATTTATTTGTTTGTTTGTTTGTTTGTTTGTTTGTTTGTTTCTTTCTTTCTTTCTTTCTTTCTTTCTTTCTTTACTCCTCTGCTTTTCCTATTTTCTTTCATTCTTTCTTTCTTTACTCCTCCTCTGTTCCTATTTTTTCACTTTCTTTCTTTCTTTCTTTCTTTCTTTCTTTCTTTCTTTCTTTCTTTACTCCTCTGCTTTTCCTATTTTCTTTCATTCTTTCTTTTTACTTTCTCTGTTACTATTTTTTCACTTTCATATTTTCTTTCTTTCTTTCTTTCTTTACTCCTCCTCTGTTCCTATTTTTTCACTTTCTTTCTTTCTTTCTTTCTTTCCTTTCTTTCTTTCTTTCTTTCTTTCTTTACTCCTCTGCTTTTCCTATTTTCTTTCATTCTTTCTTTCTTTACTCCTCCTCTGTTCCTATTTTTCATTTTTTCTTTTCTTTCTTTCTTTTTTCCAGAACTTTCTTTTCTTTACTCCTCTGCTTTTCCTATTTTCTTTCATTCTTCTTTTTTCATCCTCTGTTCCTAAAAAATTTCTTTCTTTCTTTTTTCTTTTCCTCTTTTCTTTCTTTTCTTTACCTCTCAATTTTCCTATTTTTCGATTTTTTTACTCCTCCTCTGTTACATTTTTTTCACTTTCTTTTTTCAACTCCTATTTTCTTTCATTCATGTTCCTATTTTTTCACTTTTCTTTCTTTCTTCTTTCTTTTCTTTTCTTCTTTTCTTTCTTTAGAATTTTCTTTCATTCTTTCTTTCTTTAAATCCTCTGTTCCTATTTTTCACTTCTTTCTTTCTTTCTTTCTTTCTTCTTCTTTCTTTTCTTTCTTTTTTAAATTCTTTGTTTTTTTCTTTTCTTCATTCTTTCTTTCTTTTACTGGTTCCTATTTTTTCACTTTCTTTCTTTCTTTTTTTTTTTTCTTTCTTTCTTTACCCTGCTTTTCCTATTTTCTTTCATTCTTTTTTTTTCTTTTTCCTCCTCTGTTCCTATTTTTTCACTTTCTTTCTTTACTCCTCTGTTTTTCCTATTTTCTTTCATTCTTTTTTTCTTTACTCCTCCTGTTCCTATTTTTTTACTTTTCTTTCTTTTCAGCTTTTCCTTTTTCTTTCATTCTTTTCTTTCTTTTGGGTTCCTATTTTTTCACTTTCTTTTTCTTTTTTCTTCTTTTCTTTTTCTTTCTTTTCTTTCTTTACTTACCTCTGTTTTTCCTATTTTCTTTTCATTTTTCTTTCTTTATCCTCCTCTGTTACTATTTTTTCACTTTTCTTTCTTTTTTCTTTCTTTTCTTTCTTTCTTTTTTTTTCTTTCTTTCTCTCTTTATTTTCCTATTTTCTTTTCATTCTTTTCTTTCTTTACTCCTCCTCTGTTCCTATTTTTTCACTTTCTTTTCTTTCTTTCTTTTCTTTCTTTTTCTTTTCTTTTCTTTCTTTCTTTGTTTTCTTTCTTTTTGCTTTCTTTTTTTTCTCTGACATTTTTCATTCTTCTTTTTATTTTTTTTTAACTTTCTTTTTCTTTCTTTTTTTCTTTTTTTCTTTCTTTTTTCTTACTTTACCTTTCTTTTCCTATTTTTTTTTTTTTTTCTTTACTTCCTCTGTTCTTTTTTTTTCACTTTCTTTCTTTTCTTTCTTTTTTTCTTTTCTTTCTTTCTTTATTCTCTGCTTTTCCTTTTTTTCATTCATTCTTTCTTTACCCTCCTGTTCCTATTTTTCACTTCTTTCTTTTCTTTTCTTTTCTTTCTTTCTTTCTTTTCTTTTCTTTCTTTTATCTCTGTTTTTCCTATTTTCTTTCATTCTTTTCTTTCTTTTACTCCTCCTCTGTTACTATTTTTCACTTTTCTTTCTTTCTTTTCTTTCTTTTCTTTTTTTCTTTTTTTTTCTTTCTTTTTATCTCTGCTTTTCTTATTTTCTTTCATTCTTTCTTTCTTTTACTCCTCCTCTGTTCCTATTTTTTTTTTCTTTCTTTCTTTTCTTTCTTTCTTTTTCTTTCTTTTCTTTTCTTTCTTTTTCTTCTTTTTCTTACTCTGCTTTTCCTATTTTCTTTCATTCTTTTCTTTTTTTCATTACTCCTCCTCTGTTCCTATTTGTTCACTTTCTTCTTTTCTTTCTTTCTTTTTCTTTTCTTTTTCCTTGCTTTTCCTATTTTCATTTTTCTTTCTTTTCCTCTGTTCCTATTTTTTTTTCACTTTCTTTCTTTCTTTCTTTCTTTCTTTCCTTCTTTACTCCTCTGCTTTTCCTATTTTCTTTCATTCTTTCTTTCTTTACTCCTCCTCTGTTCCTATTTTTTCACTTTCTTTCTTTCTTTCTTTCTTTCTTTCTTTTTCTTTTCTTTCTTTGCTTTTCCTTTTTCTTTCATTCTTTTTTCTTTTTACCTCCTCTGTTCCTATTTTTTCACTTTCTTTCTTTCTTTCTTTCTTTCTTTCTTTCTTTCTTTCTTTCTTTACTCCTCTGCTTTTCCTATTTTCTTTCATTCTTTCTTTCTTTACTCCTCCTCTGTTACTATTTTTTCACTTTCTTTCTTTCTTTCTTTCTTTCTTTCTTTTGTTATCGTCTATCTTTATCTTTTATTTTCAGGGATTTTGTTATTTTTCTTGTTCTTTCTTTCTGTCTGCCTTTCTTTCTTTTCTTCCTGTCTTTCATTCTCTTTTATTTCGAGGGAATTTATTTGTCACTTTCTTTGTTCTTTCTTTCTCTCTAGCTTTCTTTAAAATATAGAACGTATTTCTGATGCGTCCTGTATATATGAGTATAATATACAGTACTGTTCGATAAAAGTGACTCACCGCATCCTTTGAATTTATCTCAACTTTCGTTTCATCGGAGAAGAGAACATTCTTCCAGTCTTCTACGGTGAAATTGTTGTAATAGTGAGCCCATTCAAGTCTCTTGGCTTTGTTGGCTTTGCTTATTAGCGGCTTAAACCTTTGTGTACAAGATTTGTAGCCTTGTTGTAACAGCCACCGACGGACTGTTGAAGAGGCAAGACTAACACCTTGCTCTTCGCTTAGACTGGCTGCAATTTCTTGGCTAGTTATAGTCCTATTCTTCGCAACTTCTCTCTTGATTACCCTGTCAGTTCTATCATCAATCTTTTTCTTTCGTCACCTTGTTTCCTTCCTTGGAGCAGGAGTGGCATCATTATGTGCCCTAAGCACTTGAGAGACAGTTGATTGTGAGGTTATACCAATTTCTCTCGTAGACTTGCCTGCTTTTGAGAGGGCAATAATAGATGACTTAAGTGGTTCTGATGAGTGTTTGTCCCCTTTCATCTTGTTAGTGACTTGAGTGGCTATTTCAAGCTGTTTTTATACTGTATGAGGCTTTCTGGAATATTCTGGAATACTCTAGATTTAATTTAATTTGTTCTAGAATTCTCTAGAATATTGTTCTGGGTGTATTGTAAAATAGTTTTCAATATTTTGTCAAAAGCTCTTTAAATTTACCAGTTTAATCATTAGAATGCGATATCTGAGTCACATTTTTTTTTTTTGCACAGAGTTTTTTTTCCGGAATCTCATTTATATACAAATTTATAATTATCAATAGAATACGTTAGGTTGAATAAACTTTTTTCCTAGGTGATCAGGAAGGGGTCTTTATATTAGTAAGATTAAAAATTATTTTAACCCCCAAAACAATAGACAAAAAATATTTTTTAGTAACAAAAACATCAGGTGAGTCACTTTTATCGAACAGCAAATATTTCTGAGATTTTATGTAGAATATTTACGAGAGTCGGACTTTGTCTTCATGTTTTCGCCATATTTGTCATTTCAGATGTTTTTGTACTATCGCTTGCTTCTAAGGTTGGAATTTCACTGAACCCTTTATTTCGCTCTGGGGTGAACTGTTCTAGTTCACCATGGATGGATGTCACAGTTATCACCTGCAAGGACACATGGCACAGTGGATAAAGGCGTTAGTTAAATCCAGTGACAGGACCCAAAGAGTGTGAGTTCAATCCCCGGTTAAGGCAGTGGAGAACTTCCAGAGGGAAAATTAACAGGAGATAACTGATAACTGACATCCATCAAAAACATGGCACGTGGAACTAGAACAGTCTACCCCAGAGAGCGAAATAAAGGGTTCAGTTCGAAATTCCAACCACCTGAAGAAGGCCGGAGCGTACAACGGCCGAAACGTTGTGGCAAATATGGCGACAAAGATGAGGACAATAGTCCGACTAATGTAAATACAGCACTGTATTTCTAATTCATTAAATTTCTAAATATTGAGATCGAAATAGATGAATGCATGGCTATTTTAGAAACAGCAACTTTTTTATTTTTTATTTTAGCTTTATGTACTTATATAAGAGCGAACCGTATACAGTTTCCGTGACTATAATTTCAACTTTTAGCCGTTTTGAAGTGGATGAGGCTTTATTCTAGATATTCTTGTACGTGTAATAAATTCAAATGCAATTTGTAAATGAAGAAGGCGTCGAAAGGAATAATATTTCTGAAGCTCCTAACAAGATACTCAGCTACAAAATTTATTGTACTAACACAGGAAGTAAATTTAGCGAGTATTTTGTGTCAGTTCAGGAAAACTAAGAAGGACTGTTTCAAAAACAAACATGATGCAGACTGACGAGCATTCCTAAATTTAAACAATTTTAAAAAACAGTAATATTTTTTTCTTGTATATAAATACTCGTTACGAAATAAAATCCAGGTATTTGCTTTGATAAAAAGCCTCAGAGGGCGAAAGTTTGCCTTTCCAATTTATTAACACACACACACACACACACACATATATATATATATATAAATAAAAAGAAATATACTCTTATGGTGTGCTATATTTATGGGATAAAGAGTTCAATATCAGAGATAGAGCGTGTGTAAATATAAAGTGAACATTGAAGTCAACACTTAGAGGCGGCAGACGCAATCGGCAGGCCATATATATATATATATATATATATGTGTGTGTGTGTGTGTGTGTGTGTGTGTGTGTGTGTACCAAAATTCGTTTGAAAATGAATCAGAACTAGGTACTTTAATTTAATTTCTATAATTGAATTGGAAGATTTTAACTTCTGTTTTTGAAACATGGTAATTCCTGTGTTGCGATAGAATCATTTTTTAAAAAAAAATAAATATAATCTAGGCTCTACTTGTACATCGATCACTGTTTTTTTTTTTAAATAAAAAATAAAAGAACTTCGGATCATCAATCTAACGGTTCTTTTTTTATTTTATCAATATATTTGCACACACACACAGACACACACACACACACACACACACACACCACACACACACACACACCTATATATATATATATATATATATATATATATATATATATATATATATAATTTTATATACAGAAGAATTAATTAACTTTAATTGTTCGCACTTTGTGGTAATGTGCCTGGCATTCAATGGGTTAATCCGTATATTAAAATTTAACTGTAATATATATATATATATATATATATATATATATATATATATATATATATATATACTCATTTTTTTAAATTGTAAAGAGACTATATGGACATTCTGTATATTATATATGTCTGTTGTTAACGAGATTTTCCTGTTTTTAATACATTGCTTAGCTTTTGAAAGGCCACTTTTTACTTTCCTAAAGTGCCTTCGGATTTCAATGTCACATTTGACGACCAGAGGTTAAATATGAACTTGTGCCTGCAGGCTGTTAATTTAGATGGCGGCGGATCAGAGACTGATCAGCTCTGATGTGGTCGACTTGGTGAGGGCAGTTTGATGTTTGAAAGACCCGAAACTGACCAATGATCCAAATCAGAACATCACTGACGACACGCTCTAACGCTAAAGATCGTATATTCAAAGTATATATATATATATATATATATATATATATATATAAAAGAAAATTATACATAGAATCAATCAGCAATATTATTGATTAATAGCGAAATCACTTCGCTAGTAGAAATATAATGTATGCATTAAAATACTGTTAATCCATTGAAAGATGTGATCCTCATTTATAAAACTGTTGTCAAATGTTTCTTGTATATTTTTAATTAAGCGAGTATTTCGAAGAGTATGTCTCCATCATCAGTCTGTAATATATATATATATATATATATATATATATATATATATATATATATATAATATATAAGTGAACATTGAAGTCAACAGTTAGAGGCGACAGGCTGTTTCATGCTAGACGCAATCGTCAGGCCACGTGTGTTATTTTTTTCTCGGCTATTTAAATATTCGGGTCAGTGGTTCATTGTGGGTAGTCTATTTTGGCGGTTATTTTGCCGGATGTCGTTTATTTGTTTATTCATTTATGTAAATAAGAAAGGCTAGAATATGTAGGTCATTAAATGACCCATGTCCTAGGTTTATAAAAAATAAAAATTTACTGAATCAGAGATATGAAATAGCTATTCTTCGCCGACATTGTCAAAAATTTCCCTTAGATTATATTTTAAAATAAGCGTAGCTGGTAATATACATACTTATCTTTGATATGTAATAATAATTTTTAAATAATTTAAGTAATTCTATTATATTTAATTGTTTTAAAAAGAAATATAAACTATTAGTAATAAAAAGTAAAAATAATAAAATAATATTTTAAAATTGTAGTTCAATACAACGTATTCTAATCCAAACGCCCCTTTTAGAAAGAATCTGCCTATATACAAGTAGAAGTTTAATGAATAAAATGCCGAAAAACTTCTTGCCGTAGATAAGAAAAATCCAGACGACATGCGTTGAACAGATGTCATAATTCGGTGATAAAAGGCACCCCTACCCTCCCTAAACTTAACCGCTTTTTCAAACGTAACTCATAATTGATACAATAATAGTTAATAAAAAAGAACACGCTACCGCCCCTGTCTAAATGATTGGATTTCCCTGTATCCTTGGAAACAAAAATTATGAATGTATGTGCTTTTAAAACTCAGTAAATTTCAAAATAAGTTATTCCAAAAATTCGCTCGTAGGTGAAACAGAACTAATGCTTTTAATTTAATTATATAATTGAATTTGAAATTTTTAGTTTGTTTTTGAAACATGGTAATTCCTGGGTAGCGATGAAAAGATATTTTTAAATCAGTTTATCTATATCTATCTCTCTCTCTCTCTCTCTATCTATCTATCTATCTATCTATCTATCTATCTATATATATATATATATATATATATATATATATAATTCCAAAAGGATAGAATCCAGGTAGAATTCAATGTCCAGGGCAGAACAAGAATATAATGTAATATAAAAATATATATTAGTGTTTGAGCCTTATATATATATATATGTATGTTTCATTAAATAATATAGACAAGTGTTGTCTATTTATTTTATGTAAATTCTTTTCATAATGTCAGATAAGCTTAATAACATTATCATTAAACGAAGAAAGAAAATCACATTACTGATCCATATTTTTTAATCCAATTAAAGCTTTCGGATTACATAAGCCATTATCAAAGATAACAATTACTGTACAATATATTAAGCAATACCCGGACAAGACAGTGATGATAGTCTGTTATTGAAAAGAATGAAAACAATTTAC